GCTACTTAAAGAAATGTGTGAGATTGGGTTATTAAATTTATAAATAGCATCGTTTAAGCAAACTGAACATAAAGCTCAATTTCACAGTATTTGCCTGACCACTTAACTCCACTTATCCACAAATATGTTTTGTTGTTGTTGTTGTTGACTTCTTTTTTTTTTTGGACAGAGCATAACACACTTTTAATGTAATTTAGAAAGAATATGTTCGAGGGAAATTAATAACACGCATTTTCTGAGGTCAAAGCAACTCAGTTGACTGTCATTTTAAATTAGGCCTGATCATTAAACATGCTGAGAAAGATCACTTTGAGCTCTTTCCACCTTCTGCCGACCTAATCTCTCAGTATCAATTCATAAGACCTGCTGTCAAAAAAACACAGACAGCAGTGGCATGTGGTGTCTGACCTGATTTACTCTCCAATCTCGCCTGAATGGAAAAAAAATCACACAGACACAACTCATCCAAATGTCTCTGAAAGACGGATAAAATTGTTGCCAAAAACAAAAATGTGAAGAATAACATAAACGCCAGGTAATGGTACTTTCAGCCTGAAAAAAAGGAATTTGTACAATGTAGTTTTTGCTTTGTTTTATGGTCCAGTTGAAAACAAACACATGAACTTGAGTTTGTTTCTGCATTGTTTGAAATGTAGGTCTCCTCTCTGGCTGGAGAGTTTACTCCCAGAGCTCCAAGAGCCCCAGAGCGGAAGTACTAATGACAGGAAAACAAACACACTCACAGAGACACACACATATCCATTAAAAATACACACCACTGCATCTACACAGATTCAGTTTTTAACACTTTTATCTGTTTTAATGCTGTGCAGCTCTGAAGTTCACAACAAACAGCAAGTGATTCAATTATAAGGAATGCATACCAAAAACAATCATTATGTCAACACTGAGAGCAAAGGCAGGAAGTGGAGAATTACAGGAAGCAACCCGTCTACTCCTCCAAATCAGAGATTAAATGTGAGTCTCCTTCTGCGTCTCATCTCATTATAGCCTCAGTACAGTCAGCCCCAGGTCGGCGTCTCAACCTCTCTGTTTTTGTTTACATTTGACTAAAAACCCTGAAGATGCCATCTGCTGCAGCATGGGGGCTTTTAAAACTTTTTACTGGAGATGGGTTGTGCTTTAATGACATTTAAACCGTACAGAAATACATGTTTAAATATTTATTCGCTTCTTTCTTACTTGCTTTCTTCTTTTTCTTTTACTTCTTGATCTCTTTACAAAAACTGGAATTGTCTTTTTGATTTCCGTCCTTTATAAGTATCTTTTCTCTGCTTCTAAGTCACTCTGACCACAAACTTTCCAAAAAGTTTGATTTTCTTTTAAATGGGTGAGTGTTATATAATTTCCAGACACACAATGATGCAGCACAATCAAGTTACCTTCAGCTATAAAAATGCTGTTTATATCAAACATGGCCTTAAAGAAATTTGACTTTGCAATTCAAGACCTTGAAATTGGGCTTCTGCCTCTTTAAGAAGCTCCAAATCTTTCTGACATTCCACCTTCAGCACGTCACCACAACAGAGCTCCTCCATTATGTTGTTTACAACCATTCTTAGGAGCGCTAAACTGAGAGGAAGTTTGTATGATAAACTCAGTAGAAGCGCAATTCAACCAGGTGTTTGTTAGTTGCTGCTGCCGCTAGTCTGGAGGAGCTGAAAGCGGAGGACGAAGGGGAAGGATGATCTGTGAGGTAGAAGCTCGGCTTGGAAACTGCAGCTCTGAGGAGAAACTTTGGATAAGCACCCCTGAATGGTTGCTTATTCAGGGGTGCTTATTCAGATTCAAGGATTTTGCAAACATGCATGAAAGAATCAAGGAAATAACATTATGACACAAAATAAAGCTCAGCATAGTTCCCGCACTTTAAAGATGTTTTTTGGCCCTAGTGGCCTTTTGGAGCTATTGTCATTTTGAAGAGAGAGAGGAACAGAGGGCAGCTGAGCCAAGGACTCAAACACCTGTATATGTGGCACATGCTCTACCTTCTACACCAACACGCAATGACTTTTTTTACTTTCAAAAATATTTGAACACGTTCTCAAAGTAATCCCTTTAACTGCTATTTTTTTTTCCATTCTTTACATAACCCTAACTGAAATCATGAACAAATGAAACGCCGTTGCTGTTGTGAAGCATTTTTGTAAAACAGGTCGGCCTGCCACACACACTCTGCTGGAGCAGCACAGCATGTGGAGACACGACGCCTGATGGAGCATTTGGGGACCAGAGCGAATGAGAGGGAAGATTATCAGGCTCCCGAACCAGCCAGCTGCCACTGTGTGGGCAACACTACATCCTGCCTGTCTTCCTTCTGCTTTTTATCTCCATGCCTCTTTCATGGTCACCCTCATTAAACAGCAGCGGTAGCAGACGTTTTTGTGCCCAGGCACTGCCAGCAGGAAGGAGAACTGACAAAACCTTCTGTGTATCAAACATGCAAAAACCGAGCCAAAAAATCTACTCTCAATGTGTGTCACGTGCATGACATCGAAAAGCAACTTTGTTTAAATATACAGGATATACTGTATGTGCAATATTCACTGCCAGCTTAAGGTTTCATGAGAAGTTTGAAACCACTAATAAAGAGATTAACTCAAAGGTGTTTGAGGCAGAAGAAACTGCAGTTCATAAAAAATGGCAACAGAGATTAGAAGTAAGAATTAAGAGAATAGTGAGCAAAGCTTTAAGACTGAGAAAAATATTACACAAATAAAAACTAATAAGATCTCTGTACAGTATTTGGATAGATGCCTTCCCCAAATTCACATGAAAACTCTTAAAAGCTATTATGAAACAATCCTACAATGCTAAAAAGAAAGTCCACCCTAGGGCTGATTTGCACAACTCTCTTAAGGCTCCTAGCACAGCATTTCATCAAGTCATAGTCTAGACTTTGACTAGGTCATTCCATCACTTTGATTTGTTTAGTTTTTTGACATTTGATTGTAGATTTACTGCTGAGTGTGATCATTGTTCTGTTCCTGTGCTCGACAGTATGAGGTTTTTGGTTTTTATTTTAACATCTCATCTGTTCAGGCTCGACTGCAAAAAACCTAAATTATGCTTCTCTCGAAATTATTTTTAGAGAGAAGTTTTCTCCCAGCAATCTTTACACTTCCGTAGAATTATAAGTCTGCAAAAGATTTTCTCAGTAATCTGTTTATGTAGATGTAAAACAAGTAAAACTCAGTGACCTATGAACACAAACTGATTCAAAATACACAATCTGTGTTTATTTCTTTGTGCTGTAAGGTCTACCACAATATGCTTCCCAACACAAAACTATTTCTATTCATTTGGCCAGTGCTGTATGTTGGACCAAAGTTGAACTTTGATAAAATATTACCTTTTTATGTCTTTTAAAAAAATGTACAAAAATGATGTAGCAAATTTAAAGGACTTGTTAGTCTGTCCTGTTATGAAAGAGTTGCTTTTAAAGCTCTCTGATGAGCTAAATGCTTTGAAATCATCTTCCTTTGGTTTTTTGTGTGGTAATAATTCCTAAAAAGCTGTGCCTACATCTAAATGTTTCCCTCATAGGAAGTGGACATAGATTATTAATTAGCCTTGCGTGGTTTTTCCAGGCCAAACTGAAGACTCAAAGGAAAGTTGCAGCTAATAGGCTAAAAGCCCTAAAGTGACTTTGTGTGAATTGCACCCAGCAGAGCAGCCCAACAACACTCTTTAAATGTTCCCTAAATCATTTCCAAAAATCAATTCGACACCACAACTCTAGTAACAAACAACCACAGGGTCTCGACCACAAACGGCATTTCACATTCCTCAGCTGATGTGCATGTTTCTACAAGTAAATGCAGTCTGTCCTGTTATTATAATTATTACGTAAATAACGCAGCCTTGCAGTGGCTTCGAAATCTGTTGAGACAGTTTGCAAACAGAAAGGATAATAGTGCCACTGTAGGCTTGTTTTGTTGTGATTAAAAGACATCAAACCACTTTCAAGTTAAAATGACATTAAATTAGATGTTGTATATGAAAGATAGCAGCGTGTTATCATTTAGGCATCACAGACTCGCTGCCAAAGCATCATGGGACAGTCTCTCCTGGAGGAAAACAATTATTATCTCCAAACAGAGGGGGATTTTTTAATTAAAAGACTCGCAGAGTTTCATCTCAGTGTGACAACTCCATTATTCTCACAATGATAAAGCGGACTTGTGGCAGAACAAATTTCCAGAAGCGTTTTCAGCGTGCGAGCTGAGCTAATTGTTTTCCTGACATTTTGATACCTCTGAAATGAACGAGGTGCTCAGTTCAGGAACAAAACATGACAGGACATTTTAACACAAGTGGCAGTGAGAGACCTGTTGTTGACTGGAACTGGGTGATTTTCAGATCAATGACCAGATAACAAAAACATGATTTTTTTATTTTCCAATCAGTGAATGAATCATGCATGAACACTTCCATAAGGGCTAACACTTAAATCTTTGGGTGTCATTACAGAAAAATCAAAAGTTAAGTATTTTGAGCAACAGTGAGAGGTTTAAAAATGAAGGTTTAAGAAGATATTTAAATTGCGTGCACTGCAGACATGCTATAACATCTTTATTTTCAGTAAATAATGAGCAGACAACATTCTGAGGCTCTCTTCAGATCCTGCAGTGTGCTAAAGGAAACTGCCTTATAAATATATTTTTCTAATATAAAGTTAAGTCAGATCTATAAAATCCATGGCCATTACATTTGTGAAGTCTGGCCTGATTTTTGCACATTTTCGTATTTTTATTATGTTTGTAAAAGTTAAAAAAATAGGAGCTTCACTGGTTTGTCTGTTGACTAAACCCCACACTATTTTAAAATGCACAGTTTAAAACTCTCCTAAAATATAAATGATTAAAGACCCACTTACAGTAGAAGAATAGAAGATTATAAATGATGAAAGCCACAGTTTTTCATAAAAGAAATCATTCTAACGTCTATTAATTTCTGCAATTTACAACATCAGTTACCTTCATCGAGATCGTTCCTGGCTGAAGCCTCCAGAAGAGCCACGCTAGCAGCAAAGGACACCCGTCTCTTGGGCTCTGACTGCTGAAGGCTGTTCAAATTACGACTCTTCTTGTCGGCCTTCTTCTTCTTGTTCTGCATCTCCTTCTCGTACACGGCCCACCTCTTCAGCTGCTGAGTACGGCGCTTCTGAGCCGCCCGCAGCCTCTCCAGGCTGGGCACCTTGTCCAGCTGCTGCAGCTCCTGGATCAGCTCCAGGTGGTTGGCCATGCTGCCGGGTCGGATAGATAGCAGCGGCGGATGATGAGGATAGTGATGGGGGGGTAGGGGTTGCTGGGAAGGTAGGATTCTAGCGAGGTCGACACCTTCGGCTATGGCCTCCTCCCTTTATCCTCATCATCATCCTTTCATCACCAGTAAACGACCTGGGAGAGCAGGCAGAGAGAAAAAAACGTATTAGATATCACACAGAGAATGTTCATAAATACCTGAGATATGCCGTCTTGTAAGAGTATTCAAGCTGTTTGACCTTTTTCAAAGTTTGTCATGTCACAACTACAAACTTCATCGGATTTTACAGGAGTTTTATGTGATAGGTCAATTCAAAATAATACAGAATTATGAACCAAAACAAAAGTAATATGGGTTTATTTTTTTCCCCCAATAGTAGTCTGGAAAGTGCGGCATGCATTTGTTTTCAGTCCCTTTGAGTTTAACCTCTTTCACTCACATTTCAGCAGGAGGTTCTTTATGGTATGCCCCCAGTAGTTTTGCATTTCTAGACCCTTACAGTCAGATGGAGTGGGTCTGTGTGCATACATTTTCAGGAATTGCAACATATTTTAACTGGGCCATGAATATGTATCAATCTAAAACATTGTACCTCTGGCTCTATGCCTTTTGTTTTATTTTCTTGCTGAAATTTGGACATATTTTATGTCACCATAGGCAAGGTGTGTTCGAGGATTTGTCCAGTCAGTTTTCTGTCAGTCATGTGTTATATAAAGAGGAAAATTGGATGTTTATTTTCTTCCAATGAGGTAATTTTCTTTAAACTCAGATATGTGGAGTCCAAGACTCATGGCTGTGAAATTTTAACAGATTGTCCCAACGTCTTGGCATGAAACTGACTTGTTGCACTGGTTGTAATCAGGGGTGTTAGACTGATGCTTGTAAGTCTAACACCCCTGATTGCTAATTATAAATAAATATTGAATTGCTTTCTCACTTATTGAAAGTCTACCTTAAAACTCTGGATTTTTCCTCCTGAACAGAGAGAAATATGGTTTCGGGGGGGGGATCCTTTTTACAACAAAATAGAAAAATTATTAATCTTTATTACTAAACTGATCACTGATGGCTACTACAAATTTTTGTTCACTTTGTGAGCTTTTACGGATCTGACAGCTATTCTTCATCATGGTTAACCACTTCCCTAGAGCTGGAAGCACAGCACAGAAAAAATTATAGCCGGAGGGAAGAGTGCTATGCCGAGGAGCAGAAGAGCAGCAGAGGAGATTTATTTTTCTAATTCAGAAAAATAGTTTTCTGTCCTCTATGACAGTAAGTCCACAAAAGTGTTTGTGGCAAGTAAGAGCTTCAAGGGAAGCTGAAGAGAGATCAATCAAACTATATGGAGGAAAGTAAACATCTGAAACATAAAGCCATAAAACTAAACAAAATGCCCCTTACCAATCACAAATGCCGAAATCACTATTGTAGAAAAGCTGATGAACATTTCCTCAAGTCTGCAGCTGCTCAGTAATAAAAACCACCCAGTTACCCAGTATTAAGAGACGAATTGTTTCACAAAGCAACCAATAACCGCCTCGAGTCTGCCGTCAGACTCATGTTTCCTCTAGACCTCCTACCTAACTGCTGAAAACATGGACAGGAAACACGCTGAACAATCACTTCCCACAGCATAATTTTCAGTTATGTGGGGCTAACGATGCACAAAGTCTATGTCAGGTTTCCTTTTTATTCTGAACCTACAGTAAAAACAATCAAAAGATCCACAAATTGAACTATAACTTAAGTTTTTTTCAGGGTCAAGATGTGAGAATGTCCTTGATTTTTCCTAACAAAACCCAATGTTCAAATAACTCTGAGGGAGACACAAAAGCTTTTACGCAACAAATGTATTTGACATTGCAAATGATTCATGAGGACCTGGATCACAACCTCCAGGCCAAACACATAAAGATTAGCATCAGGGTCTCAAATTATTTCTGCTTGAATTCTGTTTTCAGCAGAATTATGATCTAGTACATAAATGCAGTTTGTGTACTAGATCTGTACAAGACGTCTAGTACACAATCACATTTCTACAAGAAATAAAAATAATAATAATTATATCTGGTTTAAGTAGTTACAGTATTTTGTCCTGGTTAAGTGAACAACTTTGTGGTCTGCTATGCATAAGATGTAAAAGCTGATAAATAAAAATAAACTTACTATTTTAATAGTTTGGATTCGAACTGGACTTATGCAACAAACAGTCATTTCAACTTACAAGTGATGTTTAAATCACTTGTATAGAAATTTGTAATCAAATTAAAGGAACTTCAATTTGAGTTTGTTAGGCAACAGAAAAAAGAATAAGATATTAACAGATAATATTTTGAAAGTGTTAATATTATGCTGTTGTAAAGCAGTATTAATATAGTCAAATTGAGATCCTGCGGGGGTTTTTTCAAAGATTTTTGTTTTCTGCAGCCATAAACAAGCTAACATTCTTGTAAATTAGGGAAAGTGTAGGAGCCTTTTTTCAGCCAGCTGCTTAGCAAGGTGCAGGAAAAAATGTGAGAATTGATTTTTTGTGTTTATATATGCATCATACAAGCAGAGAAAAGGCCTGTGACTTTTGCACTTTATCTTGAAAATGTAAGGGTAAGCAAAAAAAAAAAAACACTTGAAATCTTTCATCTTTAAATCTTTAAATCTTTAAATTGGAAAATTAATTAAAAGAGATTAAAGAAAAAAACTGCTAACATAAAGCAACGACATCCAAGAATTATTTTTAGATTTTAGGCAACTACTTCTCCGCATTCTGTTTCTCTTTAATATCATCTTGTTTATTTAATATTATTAAATCCTATAAAGCATCACACACTATTTCAAGAAAAAAGCATAACATATTACCTGAACTCTTAAATAGTTATTTTCCTTTTTGTGCTCTCATCCATTCTGCAGCATAAAAGCAGACTCCTGAGTCTATCTTAATGCTCCATTAGCACTAAAGAGGAAAGCACCATGCTGAGTGAGATAAACTGTTTGGAAAATGATGTTCGGTGCTAAGAAAAGGTCACAGACATGCTCTGCACCTGAATTCACCTGGAGTATATTTCATGCTTAATCAGAGAAAATGAGAAACACACAGCCGAGACAATGTTTCTCTTATATTGTTCAAGAACAAAGAACAAATTGCTTTGAGGTGAATTTCTAAATCTTTGATGTTATTCAGAAAATGTAGGGCTCAAAAAGAAAGATACTCTTCGGCGGTCTATGCTGCGGGCATTTAAAAGCCCACTGACTTTAAATGAGCTTCCCAAACAATAAAAAAGTCTCTGAATGAGAACCAATGCATTATTGTGAATTAATGCAGACAAATACATTTCTGTCACTCAAACCTGCTGACAATGAAACATCTCACATAAGATGATCTATTTTCTTTTATTTGAAGAGGTTAAAATTGTCACCGCTGCATGGTGATCAGAGCAGACAAAGTGAGTTAACTTCAGGCAGGAGGAGTGGCGAACAAGGAGGCGGTCAGTGTTTGCTGTAACTGTCTTTGATGGTCAAAACCATCAATGCTGGGAATTCAAAAACCAGGAGCGACTGCTGATCGAATCAGAGGGAATCAGAGCAGAGGTAATGATGTTACTCACACACAAACACGCAAGTGAAAGTGAAGCCAGAGCCACAAAAAAAGAACGAAAGACAGAAACAGACTCAAACAGATGAATAGCTTGAGCATTAATCCGTTGCTGATATTCAAAATCAGTCGACATCGTTGTTGGAATCAAAATGATTTTTTGCATCATTGGTAGCTAATAAACAAGTATCAACTTCCTACAGTAATGAATGCTGACATGTGTTCATCATTTATTGACAGAATCTGCTTTCAGAATCTGCTTTCTGCTTAAATAATAAATCATGTGCTAAAATTTAAAGAGATCAAAATTTCAGACCAAATTCAAGAAGACTATCTGAGTCAGCATTTCTGTGCTGAACTTTATGCTAAGTAGAAGAAACACTGGAGAAACAATCTGCCTGCTCCTTTCTCTGGTTTTTGTGGTTGGTAACATGATAAGGTTGTTTGTCAGAAGGTTCCTCGAATGTTACATTTTGCTGTTTCTGTTTTGGTGATATTGCTTCACTTTGCAAAAGTATTCACTTTTTTTATTTTCTTTTTACTACACATCAAAATACATATATAATATTTCACCGTACCAAATTGTTGTGAGGACTAAAAACAAAAATCACTTGCTGATATCACAACAAATGTTCAGTTCCTTTCTAATTTCTACATAAATAGAACAATAATGGAAACTGCTCAGTAGATGAAGGATGGCCAATACATCAAACACCTACTGTCACCTAATCATGGTTTTAATACAACTTCAGTCAATAAAAAAAAAAAGAATTCAAGCCAACAAATGCTTTAGAATTGATTTAAAGCCACTTCTTCATAAGCTGCTCAAAGTAACTGAAAATAAATCATTACTGCAGCATCAATATGCACAACACTACAACTCCAAAGGATGATTAGATGTAATAAAGTCTGATGGTGAGGAAAAAATAGGAAGCAGGGGACCAACACCTTCTACCTAAGAAATATCTAATATATTGATGAAATATGAAAACAGGCCCTATTTTACGTAAGGGTTTATTTGCTACCATTGCTTTCAAGCTTTAAAAACCTGATAAACTATCTGAAGACTACCCACACATTTGAAACCTAAGCGTGTAGGATGAGACTAACAAAGTTTTCCAAGAACAGATTTCTTTTTTCAACAATAACCTCCTTCCATCTGGCAAGCTAAACATTTTGTAACCACACAGCGGCAGACAAAGAGCTGAAGTAAACAGCAGCATGATCGCATGCTGCGACACGGGGAGTAAAAAGAAATTTCCATTTGATGACTCGACTGATGGGCCCACATGCTGATATGCAGCTTTGTTTCCGTTAGATTAAAAACAGGTGAGGAGTTAAATTTAGACAGCACAGCTTTGTTTCCCCTGCAGGTAATACAAGAATTTGGAAGTAATTTGTAAATTCAAAAGCAGTTTATTTTGCCACTGGCTCTTTAATGGTGCTTCAAAAAAGATGTGAGACAATAAAAAGCCTGACATGATGTCATGGCAAGAGGCAAAAATGAGCTTTTTAATGTTATGTAAAACAGGGGAGCTGTAGGTAACT